TTCTTTTTCAAAAAGTTTTTAAGTTCCCCTCTATATATTTTTTTAAACTTTTTAAAAGCACACAACAGAAATAAATGAATCTCTAAAACTTCCAGGTTGTCTCCCTGGCAACACTTTCTTTAAAGCCATTAAGCTAGGGAAAAAGTGCTCAAGTAATTGATCCACTCAGATCCTAAGGTATATCAAAGCCAATTTTAATTAACAATGGTTTGTATTTCAGTATTGAGCACAAGTAATATATATCATGCAATGGCGAAGTCTAACTCCCTTCCTATGCATCGACATGTCATAAAGAACAATTCATGCACATCAAGTAAAGGCCAATACATAGCATAAGCAATTTCTTGCAATTTTATCGTATTGGAAACATAGAGAGGTGGAGATGTGGTTCCTCTCGCATAATAATTGCAAGTAGGAGCAGCAAGCACCTGCATATTATATTCGTCAAAATTATCATGTGTAACGGTAAAACGTAACCCATCAAAATAATCCTTAATAAGTGCAAACTTCTCCGATATAGTGTAGTTGGGAGAATCCAAAAAGATAGTAGGACTATCATGTGTGGGTGCAATAGCAACAATTTCATTCTTAACATAAGGAACTATAGCAAGTTCATCTCCATATTGGCATCATGGCCACAAGCATACCAAGCATCAAGTTCATCAAAAAGGGATATTTCAAACGAATCCAAGGGATCATAGCAATCATCCTTCGGTAAGCACGAAGGGAAATTAAACAATGTATGACTTGAAAAGTTACTCTCATTAGAAGGTGGGCACGGGTGATCAATCTGCTCTTCCTCCTTTTGTCCTTCACTCTCCTCCTCATCTTTTTCATCCAATGAGCTCATAGTGTCATCAATTTCTTCTTCCATAGATTCCTGCAAAATATTAGTCTCTTCTTGGACAAGAGAGGCTTTCTGAATAAAATCATCAATATCAGCATTGTATTTGTAATTTTCATAACAATATTTAAGTATAGCAAAATTTTCAGGTCTATAAACAACATCATCAAAATATTCATGTTTTTCAAACGAAGATTCAATTTCATAAGCACCCTTAAAAGAAAAAAAATCTTCTATTCACTCCACATCATAGTAATCATATCTACCATTAGCATAAGAAGCCAAAGTTTCTTTATCATTAAATTTACATGAAAAGGGAAGGTGTGGAGCCTTTATCCTAGAGCAGCAAGTATAACCATATCTCAAGCATAAAGTCCAAGCATACCAATGCAAAATTTCAATTTGATCCCATAAGAGATTCCCCTTTTTAGTCAAGCGATAATTCCTAAAGTATTCACATTGATCCAATGTGTCTCCCATTATCAAGTTGAATGGGGTTTTCTCAGGATTATCAAAGTAGTGTTTAATATTTTTCACATAATGAGCATCGAGGGTTTTAGGAGGCTTCCCATCTCCATGAGTAGCAAGTGCACCTAATTTTTTTGGTATTCCGTGTTCCATATCCATAACTAAAGATAGAGAACAACTTAGAACATAAAATAAAAACTACTTAGTGATAAAGAAAACAAGCACATATGAGAATATTCACCCCACGCTATTGCTCCCTGGCAACGGCGCCAGAAAAAGGTCCTAATAACCCATAAGTATAGGGGATCAATTTTAGTCTTTCTCGGTAAGTAAGAGTGTCGAACCCAACGAGGAGCTAAAGGTAAGATTTGTGTTCCCTTCAAATTCTATCGACCATTGACAACTCTTTGCGCACTTGATGTTCGCTTTACCTAGAATAAGTATGAAACTAGAAGTACTTTGTAGGTGTAAAGGGATAGGTTTGCAAGATAATAAAGAACACATAAATAAAATCTAGGGGCTATTTAGATAAAGAAATAATTAAGTTAGTTTTAGTAGAGAGCTTTGTGTCACAAGAAAGTTATTTGTCCCTAGGCAATCGATAACTAGATTGGTAATCGTTATTGCAATTTTATATGAGCGAGAGGCATGAGCTGACATACTCTCTCTACTTGGATCATATGCACTTATGATTGGAACTCTAGCAAGCATCTGCAACTATCAAAGATCATTAAGGTAAAACCCAACCATGCATTAAGTATCAAGTCCTCCTTACTCCCATACGCAACAACCCACTTATTTGGGTTTGTGCTTCTCTCACTCACACCACCCACCATAAGCGAATCATGAACATATTGCAACACCCTACAGCGGGGATCCCTCACACTTGCGCGACACAGAGAGCACCATAGGACAACACCAATAATAGAAAATACAACTCAAACCAATCATGATCATCAATCAAACCATAGGACAAAACGGATCTACTCAAACATTATAGGATACCTCTATATCATTGGATAATAATATATAGCATTGTGCACCATGTTTAAGTAGAGATTACAGCGGGGAGAAGAGGTGTTACACTGTTGCATAGAGGAGGGAAAGTTGGTGATGACGGCGGCGAAGTTGTTGGTGTAGATCATCATCACGATGATGGCCCCGGAGGCGTTCCGGTGCCACCTGGAGAGAGGGGGAGAGAGCTCCCCCCCCTCTCCTCCTCCTCCT